ATTTCTTTTTTTTTTATTTTTAAAGATTTTATTTATTTTTGTGAGAGAGAGGGAGAAAGAGAATGAGCACAAGCAGGGGAAGGGGCAGAGGGAGAAGAAGGCTCCCCAATGAGCAAGGAGCCTGATGGGGGACTTGATCCCAGGACCCTGGGATCATGACCTGAGCCAAAGGCAGTTGCTTAACTGACTGAGCAACCCAGGTACCTTATCCAGAGAACTTCTAAGCAAGTTAACCAGCACCATTTACTGGATAATCCTTCCATCCCAATTGGTTTGTAATGCCTCTTTTGTCACATGTTAAATTCCTTTGTAAGCTTAGGAATTCTGTTGGAAAATGGAAATTTACTTGGAAAATGCTACATTGCTGCAGAAAATACAACTAAAATCTAAAACTGAAAGGGAAGTAAAACTAATGAGACTTAAACTTTAGGGCCTTTCACTACATGAGTTTTTAAATTCTCTATTCTTAATTTTGGATTTTTTTTTAAAGATTGTATATATCTACAAAACCTGGATCTGCTCACTTTCTACTTGCAAACCCATCACCGTGCCAAGCCATGCAGGAAAGCAGGTATGAGCAACAACACCCATTCTAGGGAATTGTCTCCAACCTCTACCCATGTGGTCCTTGTATCCCTGGTGGGGGGATACTTACTTTGAGGTCAATATCTGCCTATCTGATTTGAGATTTTTTCTTCCTGAATAGGGAAATCATTTCTCTGGGTTGAGTTTCCCCTAATGGGAAACAAAACATTGATCAGAACTTAAAGAGTACCAATAAAAGTAGATATCGATAAAAGCATTCTGGGTTGGCAGTATAAATTGTTGGAAAGAACCCAATCCTGAGTGTGTGATTACCATTTCTTGGCAATATGACCTTGAGCAGGTCACTTCTCTGAGCCTGTTTTCTCACTTGTAAAAGGAATTAAAATAACATGGTAGATCTCGAAGGGGTCTAAAGGTTGGTAGAGGGGCCTTGGAGCCAGCTGAGATTTCAGGGTCTGAACTGCCAGGACTCTGCTCCTGGAATAGTCTCTCAGATGTGATTGCTCATTCTGGCCATGAATACATGCCGTGAGGCATTTACCATTGGCATATACCAATGACAGCATTCTGTAAAGGAAAGGGATTCATTCATTCATTCATTATGCACACCTTATTCCAGAAGGGATTAATGTCAGTTTTTAAGCATATAGAAAATATAGACAGAGTAATTAGCAGACAAGCATGTAGGTAGATAAGCAAGAGGAAAGCGAAAGTCAGGATAGAGATTTAAGAACTAGAAATGAGGCTAAAATGAATATTTGTCCTATATACAGTGGTACGAGAAAAGGTGTGCATGTGTGTGTGTGTGTGTGTGTGTGTGTTGGACCTATATGATGTGCCACTAAGCCTCAGGTCACAAAATCACATATATTAGGGAATGTTTAGCTTTGATAAGTTCTTGATAACTTAATCATTAAATATTCTATCACCAAAAAATCCCTTTATCCTCTTACTACTTATCTTCTTAATCCCTGCAATCTTTCTGTCTCCATCTACTTTATTAAAACTGCTCTATCTGGGTTCACCAATGACCTTTAGGCCAAATCAAAAGGTTTTTCTCAGACATTGTCTTTGGCCTTTTACCAGCACCCTAAAAACAGTTTCTGTCATCTGGGACAATGAAAGTCCCACTTTTCCTCCCACCTCTGACAGCTTTGCATGTCTAAGTTTCTGACTCCTATTCTATCTATTTGCCCTGACTTCAGCATGTCCTGACTACTGGCCCTTGGCCCTTGACATGTTCCTCTCTGTATATACTCTCTAAGGAAAGCACCTCTAACAGGGCTTACTTCCCTGACTCCATGGCGGGGTGCCTACAGCAATATCTGCTAACCAGACCCATCACTAAGCCCTCACTCCACGTTTGTCATGGAGGAGGATCGGAAGATGTCAGTTGGACTTACAGCTTTGCCACTAATTAGCAGGGTAACTTTTAGGGGAAAAAAAATATATACTCTCTGCATTTCTTTATATCTAAAGTTTAGTACCCAAAGCATAAGCTCCTTTTCCCAATTTCACCACCACAGTCCTAGTGTCAGAGCCTTGGTGCTTCCCTCTTCTTAAATGTGATTCAGCCTGACATCCTGTCTCTACTTTCTGGGTTTCTCAGATTTGTCTCTCTCTTCTATTGCTAGTGGAATTAGTTAATACTGGGATTCTCAAAAGTGCCTGTTGGCATATCACCTTGCTTCTCCCCCTCACTCCTTTCTGTATTTCATGCTGCTTGCTTCCAGATTAAACTTCTGTTAAAACACTTCTGTTCCAGAATGTACATGGCTCTGGTTGTGAGCATATGAATCCTGTGCTCTGTTGCCTCAGCCCTAAGACCCTTCTCAATCTGACCCCAGTTGTGTTTCCGATTGGCCTCAGTGAGGCTCCTCCACTTTTCAGAAGTCTCCTGCTATTTGTCTTCCCTGGAGTAAGCCCATATTCATGAACCTGTAGTTTGTGTTTTTCTCCTGGCCTAGAAGCCTGCAATGTCTTCCCTTTCAAATTTCCATATTTCCCGCATCTTTGTGTGCTCACACCCAGCATTCTCCAGAATACCTTCCTTAAGCCCTTCAGCCTACATTGAGCTGACTTACTACTATAACTAAGTATATGTGCATGTCTTATTTCTACCACTTTATTATGAATGCTCAGAGTGCAGAGGCAGATCTGTGTTTTTATATGAGCTGATATGTCCAGTGACTAATTGAGCTACATAAGTCCTTGATTTTTAATGTGAACTTGACTGCTTCTCAAAGACCTTCTGATTTTCCACTGCCTTTGGAAAGGCGTCAAGATTCAACTCCTGAAAGCATCAGGGATGACTTATTGACTGGGAAGGGGAGAACTTGGAAGATAGGCTAATCAAGAAGTTCTTTACCCTCTAGTTAAAAAAAGGTGGGTTGGGGCACCTGGGTGGCTCAGTTAAGCATCTGCCATCTGCTCGAGTCATGATCTCAGGGTTCTGGGATAGAACCCCTGTCCCTTCCCACACTTCCTCTCTCTCTCTCTCTCTCTAATAAATAAATAAGTAAAATCTTAAAAAAAAAAAAAAAGGTGGGCTGGCTGCTTGAGGAATGCTAGGGATGCTTTAGGCGAAGATATGAAGCCAATCAAAGACTTTTCCTCCCTTCTCTTTGAGGCTCTTCTTTTCTTGCCTCTCCTCCTATGCCCTGTGTTCTTATGGTGGCCAAAGCAGTCTACTCTGGTCATGCTTGAGCCCCTGACCTGACATTTGAAAACCCTCATTCCTAGAGGGTCATTTTAGGAGGCCTGTGTATTGTCCTTCACATACCCTTAACTATCTGGAACATTTTTGCTTTCTTTAAATCTGTAAAAATTTGGGATTGGGCCAAGCCATTTCTAAATTCTCTTCTAGCTCTAGCTCTAAACTGTTACATCATGATCTGAGCAGCATAGGCCTAAAGTGCAGTCACCCTAATTTTTTTAATGTATTCTTTTGTGTTTCAGTAAATAACTAGATCATAAATTGCTTGGGGACAAATCCCTCTTGTGTGTCCTTACTCACATAAGCCCCCACCATGTTCTGGGTAGGTCTGATTCCCTGGCAAGCATTAAAGCAGTATGTGCTTTACTGTGAGGGACTCTGGGGACAAATCCTAGAACATCACTTCCTTTGATCAAAAACAGGGATGAGGGCACCTGGGTGGCTCAGTTGTTAAGCGTCTGCCTTCAGCTTAGGTCATGATCCCGGGGTCCTGGGATCAAGCCCCACATCAGGCTCCCTGCTCTGCGGGAGGCCTGCTTCTCCCTTTCCCACTCCCCCTGCTGTGTTCCCTCTCTCCTGTCTCTCTCTGTCAAATAAATAAATAAAATCTTTAAAACAAAACAAAACAAAAAAACAGGTATGATAAATAATGTCAAAGTTTTGAGAGCCTCAATTAAAAATACCATGAAAGAATAAGCAAATATAATAGTCAGGAGAAGTAACAATAAATGCAAACTTAGCAGTTGTAAAAAGCAAAACTGCTTAATTCAGGGATGTTTACAAAGCCCTACTATAAATTGGGAGAACTCATATTCCATTGCAACAAATGTGACAGCACATAGATAAGGGTCTGCTGATTGTCGGCAAAGATTCATTCACCTCAAGCAAGAATCTCTATGAGGTTTGAACTATTTTCCAATAGGGTTAAAACAATCTGACAGTCTTTTGAGTTTGTCTTAATGGTGTATGGCTACAGCAGACACAACCTGGAAGTATAATATTTAAAGAAAGGTTGTAATCTGTCCATCAGAGATGAATGCCAGCTCACTAATCTATCCATCAGGGATACTGCACAGTATCCGCTTCACACTATTTAAAATATTAATATAACCGACAGTATTTTAAAATGAGATTACATAAAGTAAGCTCAGGACATTGTGTATCATATGCTACCACTGTGTTAAAAGGAAGAAAAAGAATGTGTACTTGAACTTGCTTCTATGTATTCTTGAAATATATTTTGAAAGGGAAAAATATAAACTGGTCTGAGTCTTGCTCTTCTAGTCTGAGGATATTAACAAGTTATCCTGCTTTGAGTAGAGAACAAGACATGGCAGGTCCATGGGGCATTTCTTATTTTTTAGTCTATAGACCTAGATACCAGAGAGGGGTGTTGATAATTTACATCCCCAGTGAGGTTACAGAAGTTTTAGTTTGGAAAGAACTCCTCCATTTGTTGCCAATCTGGTAACAAAGAACCGTAGTGCGGGGTGCCTGGGTGGCTCAGTCGTTAAGCGTCTGCCTTCGGCTCAGGTCATGATCCCAGGGTCCTGGGGTTGAGCCCTGCATCGGGCTCTCTGCTCCGCGGGAAGCCTGCTTCTCCCTCTCCCACTCCCCCTTCTTGTGTTCCCTCTCTCGCTATGTGTCTCTCTAGCAAATAAATAAATAAAATCTTAAAAAAAAAAAAAAAGAACCATAGTGCTGAGCAGTAGCCAGTATTGAATATCGTGGGCAGTACCGATGTCTGTTTGGTAGTCCCTCAGGGTGTTGCAGTCATACATCTCCAGTCCCTCTGGGGTCCGGAGGCAGAAAACACTCACAGGGAAGCCACATCTCAGAGCTACCAGGGTTCTCAGATCAGACACTTTTTTACCAAGAAGGGAAATGTTCTCCATCATTGGCATTGTCTCTTGGGTCACAGCATTAAACACATAGAGAGTTGGCTTGTCTTCTTCCTAAGGGAAAAGAAAAGGAGGAAACTCGGGAATAAACATTGTCTGGGGGCTGGAACGAGGGAGAAACATTTTGGAGCGTGGCTCTGAGTGCCTCTTACTCCCATGACATGGGTGCTAAGGATGAAAGCGAAGGCCAGTTAAGTTCCCTGACTTCTGGTCTGACTCCTGTTCATCTGTCCTGAGACTATTGAGGAAATCTCCTGCTTTGAGTAAAATGAAGGAGGCTTGGCAGGGTTTTGCGACCCTTATTCTTAGTCTACAGACCAGAAACACAAGAGGAATGTTGATAATTATATCCAAGCTGCACTTCTGGAGGTGTTAGTTGAGAAACAACTCTACCAGCATGTACTTGGTTTGGAAGTACTATGGTTTCTAAATCTTCAGTCAATTTTTAAAATCCTTTCTGAGAGTTTATCTCTGGGGAGTGGAACGCAGTTCAAGGTGGGGGGATGTTTTGCTTATCGTTTTATGCTTTTCATTGTCTGTATGGTTTGACTTTAAAAAAACATGTATTTTTACTGTTTAAAAAAGGAAGTTCTAAATATAAGTGACAAAAAGTTTCCTTTTTTTTTTTCTTTTGCAATCTAAGTAGGAAAGCAAGTGGAACTGATATATCTCAAGTCGAGTTAAGATGGAAAGTTTGGGAAAAATATTAATCCTCCTGTTAACAACAGAAGAATCAAGCCAAACCAAAACTAAAAACACAGCAAACTGGGAAAATGGGAAGGGGGCAGAGAGAAGACTATTAACATTTTCAGTTTTCAAACCAAAAAATGAAGCTGGCTTTTCTTCCTCTTTATTGGTTTCAGGACAATCATGTTTGTCTTCAGTGGCCTCTTGTCGGCTTGGCAGGTGTGAGGGTGCAGCGTGCCGTCACTGTAACCACTGTAACGTGGGAGTCTTGGAGAGGAGCCTTAAGCAAACTGACAAGTGGGCATGGGTTTGTCAAGGGGGCTCCAGCCAGTCATTGCTCTCTTGTTCAGCCCTGTTCAGTCCTCCCCTTCTCCTATCAAAATTTGCCTCCAGGGGCCTGGGTGGCTCAGTTGTTAAGCGTCTGCCTTAGTCTCCGGTCGTGGTCCCGAGGTCCTGGGATCGAGCCCCGCATCGGGCTCCCTGCTCTGCGGGAAGCTTGCTTCTACCTCTCCCACTCCCCCTGCTTGTGTTCCCTCTCTCACTATCTCTCTCTGTCATATAAATAAATAAAATCTTAAAAAAAAAAAAGAAAGAAAGAAAAACTTAAAAAAAAAAATTTGCCTCCAGATTCCCCTCCCTGCTTCAGGCTTATTTATTTATTTTTTTTAAAGATTTTATTTATTTATTTATTTATTTGAGAGAGAGAGAGAGAGAGTGAGAGAGCACAAGAGGGGGGAGTGGGAGAGGGAGGAGCAGACTCCCCGCTGAGCAGGGAGCCTGATGCGGGACTCGATCCTGGGACTTGATCCCGGGACTCCAGGATCATGACCTGAGCCGAAGGCAGTCGCTTAACCAACTGAGCCACCCAGGCGCCCCCCTGCTTCAGGCTTATAATACATTACTTCATTCCCCTCTCCCAGATCACACATTGCTGTAACATAATCAACACGCAGATCTCTTTGAAAGAGCCTTTAAAGAGTAATGAATGTTATTGCTGAACGATTAGACTGCAGTGCTTTGATCTGGGGCCCACTTCAGTGACTCAAATCACCAAAAGCAGGTTCCGACCCTCTGCTTCCTGAGTTCAAACTGCTTAGGACAGTTTTTCTCAACAGCTTCTCATAAACCCATGCAATAAAAATTGAAAGGACATAGGATTTACCCTTTCCCTTTCAACCTGCTTATGCTTTCCTATGGCTCCATTAAAGTCCAACCTAATCTATGTGATATTTATAGGCAGGAAGAAATTCCTATGAAAACTAAATAAAAAGATGGGGGGGGAAGAGAGACAAATTATATTTTAGGCAAAAGCTTTTCCTTATTTCTTTTATGGTTACTCTGATTTCTTGTTAGCCCTTGGTACGGATACTAATTCATACTTAAAATTAAATGTGTAATGTGCAAACAAAGTAACAAAGGCCCAAGTCACTCTTCATAGCGAACTAGAAACTACATGATGTTAGAAGAGTAAGTTAAAAAGGAGCTTCTCAGAATAAGAATAAACATAAGCATCTATGACCTAGGTATACATAAAAACTCTGAAACAAGTAATAAGGGAGAATTGCAAAATATATAGGAATGTTTAGATGAAAATCAAAAGTGCAAGTAAGAAAATATGTTAGTTACTAATGGAGCTAGGTTCTTAAATTGCAAGAAAATTAGCACCTACAGAGTTTGTTCTTTCTTTCTTTCTTTCTTTCTTTTTTTTTTTTTTTTTTAGCCCCCAGGAACTTCCCAGGCCCATTTAATTCATGATGTATCTGAAAATAGTTCTCTTTCTACTATTAACTCTATTTATCCACCATTTCATAAATCTTATTTTTGTGAGAAAACTCATTTTATGTTCTAATGAGGCACACCAGTTGGAGACACTTCTTCATGTTGGTTATTTGGAGAGGGAGCAGATGGATGTGGATTAACAGCAAATTGTCAACTCACCTTATGTACATAAGAAAAGGCATCTCTCTATATGATACCCTTCCTCGAATATTCTAAATAAGGAACATTGGTAGTTACACTCAAGGAAGTCAGATGTTATTAAATAAACAATACCATCACAAATCATTGTTGAACATATGTAAAATTAGATTTTCCCCTTTACAAAGAAACCAAGATACCATGGTAGGAGGTACATGTCTTACTTTTCTTTTTTCTTTCTTTTTTTTTTTTTTTTTGCTTCTGACTGAATTGTATTGTTTGAGCACAGTTATTTATGAGGGTTTTTTTATTATTAACATATAATGTATCATTTGTTTCAGGGGTAGAGGTCTGTGATTCATCAGTCCTACACAACACACAGTGCTCATCATAGCACATACCCTTCCCAATGTCCATCACCTCACCACCTCATCCCCCAATCCCCCTCTACTCCAGCAACCCTCAGTTTCTTTCCTGAGATTAAGAGTCTCCTATAGTTTGTCTCCCTCTCTGATTTCGTCTTGTTTCATTTTTCCCTCCCTTTCCCTATGATCTTCTGTCTTGTTTCTTAAATTCCTCATATCAGTGAGATCATATGATAATTGTCTTTCTCTGATTGACTGATTTCATCTCTAGTTCCATCCACATCATTGCAAATGGCAAGATTTCATTTTGTTTTTTTTTAATGGCTGCATCATATTCCATTGTATATATATACCACATCTTCTTTATCCATTCATCTGTTGATGGACATCTGGGCTCTTTCCATAGTTTGGCTATTGTGGACATGGCTGCTATAAACATTGGGGTGCAGGTGCCCTTTTGGATCACTATATTTGTATCTTTGGGGCAAAGACCCAGTAGTGCAATTGCTGGATCATAGGGTAGCTCTATTTTCAACTTTTTGAGGAACCTCCATACAATTTTTCGGAGTGGCTGTACCAGCTTGCAATCCCACCAACCATGTAGGAGGGTTCCCCTTTCTCTACATCCTCGCCAACATCTGTCATTTCCTGACTTGTTAATTTTAGCCATTCTGACTGGTGTGAGGTGGTATCTCATTATGGTTTTGATTTGTATTTTCCTGATGCCAAGTGATGTTGAGCACTTTGTCACGTGTCTGTTGACCATTTGGATGTCTTCTTTGCAGAAATGTCTGTTCATGTCTTCTGCCCATTTCTTGATTGGATTCTTTGTTCTTTGGGTGTTGAGTTTGATAAATTCTTTATAAATTTTGGATACTAGCCCTTTATCTGATATGTCATTTGCCAATATCTTCTCCCATTCTGTTGGTTGTCTTTTGGTTTTGTTGACTGTTTCCTTTGCTCTGCAAAAGCTTTTTATCTTGTTGAAGTCCCAATAGTTCATTTCTGCCTCTGTTTCCCTTGCCTTTGGCGATGTGTCTAGGAAGAAGTTGCTGTGGCCGAGGTCAAAGAGGTTGCTGCCTGTGTTCTCATCAAGGATTTTGATCGATTCCTATCTCACATTGAGGTCTTTCATCCATTTTGAGTCTATTTTTGTGTATGGTGTAAGGAAATGGTCCAGTTTCATTTTTCTGCATGTGGCTGTCCAGTTTTCCCAGCACTATTTGTTGAAGAGACTGTCTTTTTTCCATTGGATGTTTTTTCCTGCTTTGTTGAAGATGAGTTGACCATAGAGTTGAAGGTCCATTTCTGGGCTCTCTATTCTTTTCCATTGATCTATGTGTCTGTTTTTGTGCTAGTACCATACTGTCTTGATGATTACAGCTTTGTAATAGAGCTTGACGTCCGGAATTGTGATGCCTCCAGCTTTGGTTTTCTTTTTCAACATTCCTCTGGCTATTTGGGGTCTCTTCTGGTTCCATACAAATTTTAGGATTATTTGTTCCAGTTCTTGGAAAAAAGTTGATGGTATTTTGATAGGAGTTGCATTGAATGTGTAGATTGCTCTAGGTAGCATAAACATTTTAACAGTATTTGTTCTTCCAATCCATGAGCATGGAACATTTTTCCATTTCTTTGTGTCTTCCTCAATTTCTTTCATGAGTATTCTATAGTTTTCTGAGTACAGATCCTTTGCCTCTTTGGTTAGGTTTATTCCTAGGTATCTTATGGTTTTGGGTGCAATTGTAAATGGGATTGACTCCTTGATTTCTCTTTTTTCTGTGTTATTGTTGGTGTATAGAAATGCAACTTATTTCTGTGCACTGATTTTATATCCTGCCACTTTACTGAATTCCTGTATGAGTCTTAGCAGTTTTGGGGTGGGGTCTTTTGGGTTTTCCACATAAAGTATCATATCATCTGCAAAGAGTGACAGTTTGACTTCTTCTTTGTCAATTTTAATACCTTTTATTTCTTTTTATTGTCTGATTGCTGAGGCTAGGACTTCTAGTACTATGTTGAACAACAGTTGTGATAGCGGACATCCCTGCTGTGTTCCTGACCTTAGGGGAAAAGCTCTCAGTT